TCATCATCTCATCAGTATCTGGGCCTCATCATCTCATCAGTATCTGGACCTCATGTTTCGTGGTCATGAAAGTTATTCTGACCATGAAATCATCCTCATTCTACTTTGAGTTAAAACAAACAACCTGCAACCAGATGCGCCGGTGTTCCGGTTTAACGTTAACGAGTGACCGCGTGAACTGAACCGGAACACGGGGGGGCTGCATGTTTCATCACGTTACGTGTTTTCCTCCTAAATCGCGATAATGATGAACGTTAACAGTCGACAAAGTTCCGCATGCAGTGGACGTTAACTTAACCCAAGTCTGAACGGTAACGGAACATAACGGAACTTAAACTGTAACGGAGGGAAATGAAGACGCTGTACACATCTGAACGCTGATTGGCCAAGACTCGTCACATCAAAGATGTTCTATTGTGAAGATCACGACATCACCATTTCTCCTCGTCTCACTCCAATCTGAGTAACGCTGTCTGGCCAGTTGACCCCCCCCAAAAAAAAAACCTCTACGGATCTACACGATTCACGTGGATGACATATTTTTGATTCAAAACGGTGAATTTCACCGAAAAGTGACAAGGTTGCCGGTATGATTTCTGAGGAACTCTCCAGACCTGCCATTCCCCATCCATCCACCAGATGCCCCTCAGACTTTCCCGCCCAGTCACAGTCACCTGACTCTTACATCCAACTGCTCACCTGTTCAGCATTCCCCAATTACCCCCACAGTATTTGTACCAGCCCATCACCACCTGCTTCTGACCACATTGTCAATATTCCTTGCTGCTTTTGCTTTCTGTCCCGTTCCTGTTAACCTGTGGTTTCTCACCTGCTTCTGTCTGGACGTGCTCCCTTCACTTGTGAGCTTATGTATCATGATTTTACCATTAAATCACGTAACTGTTGCTGTCTGCCCAGGTTGCATTTGGGTCTCTTTCCTTGATGCCTACCTGACCGTTTGCATCCTACTACTACCACTTGGAGTGGCAGAAGACGGAGCTTTCAACCGTTACTTTTCGTGAACAATTTTACCTGTTTATCTATTACTTGCTGCTAATTATTTTAAATGTTTATCCTTTCCAAGCTTACTACTATGACTACTACTACTAATACCTTTATACACGATTTTTAGATTATTGTGATGTAATACCTTGCCAAGTACTTCTGCTGGGTTTTAATATCCATAAACTATTTCCTAAAAATGTGTTGTATCAACAGCAAAACGCACTGCGGTGGATCAGATACATAAAGTACTCTCTATACTTCCTTAAACACTAACCCAGTTTAAAGTACCATGTGGCTGTGAGAAGGACAGAGGTGGTTAGCAAATAAAATCTAAGATGAATGACTTTGCTCCGATTAAGAAGTCCTTGTTGCACTTCCTCAATGCAGGTGCTTTTCTGGCAAAGTTCCCATAAGATTAAAAACGGCCTTCTTTATGATGATGTTGCACGAGTTGGTTAAATATAAAACTGAAAACCAAACCATGATGTAAACAGAGACAGAGTCATGCCCTTTGTGGTCAGCCTGGTCAGATGAGAGAAATATTCCAGCATTGAGACAATTTACAGTATATAAGAGATTATAACTTCACATCGGGTCACTGTAACGTCAGCTCTCCTTGTTTAAGCTCCACAACAGGTAAGAACACTTTCATCTTAAAAAAACATTTTTATAATCGTACTACGAATATATCAGCATAAGAAATGATCTGTTTATTTGTTTATTGTTTAATTTTTGTTTAATTTACAACACATTACACTGACCCTGAATGTAAAGTTACATCACTGCAACAACTTCTAATAGAATTGTATGAAAGTAAAAGATTAAAAGAAATATCAAAACATAAAACAGTGCAAATTAAAATAAATGTTAGTACAAATATAATATATAAATATTATATTTAAGACAGCAACAGCACAAAGGAATCATTCATGTAAAACAGAAACATACTTTTAATACAAAGATTAGAAGACGACAAACACACAAACCTGAACACTGCAACTGCGGTTTATCTTTGCATCTGCATCTATTCAACAGATGCAAGAGCCATGAACATGTAAACGAAAGTGAAACTTAATTCAGTCTGCTCTGTCTGTGGTCTCACTGTTGAGCTGAGTTTGTTCCTGTGAACGTCTCTGGTGACTGAGACTGAGCACCCCCCCCCCCCCTTTATTTCTGTTTCTATTTATTTGTCACCAAAGACGGAAAGGAAACAAGCTTCCAAACTGAGATGGATCCACATGTGGTGAAATGGAAATTATGTGAGTATTGTTGCCGTAATATTGTGTTTCCTTTTATTTAGACAAATTATTATCTAAATAATTGCTCTCCCACAGGTTTCTCCCTCTTTTCTCCCCGTTAAAGGGGTTTTTTTGGGGGAGTTTTTCCTGTTCCGATGTGATGGTCCTGGGACAAGAGGATGTCACATGTGTACATATTGTAAAGCCCTCTGAGGCAAATTTGTAATTTGTGATTTTGGGCTATACAAAAATAAATTGAATTGAATAATCTGAACAGTTTACTGCCAAGTACGTTGCACATACAAGGAATTTGACCGGGTGAATGGTGCATAACAATAAACTCCGAGCAATAGTATGTGACATAATTTAAGAATGGAAGACTATTAAATGGTAAACAAACAAATAACTATGTTAAAACAAGTATATTATTAAAGTGGCAAGTGTGTATTGAAAGAGAAAAGATGTGCAAGTGTGTGTAACTGTAGGACATTGTCCTGGGATGTAAGTGTCTGAGTCAGTGGGGGAATACTTTATTATTCCCTGAAGAGCGAGCAGATCAAATATCTAAGCTAAGCAATCAGACTGCCCCTTGTCAGGATGGCATTCAATTTTGTTTTAAATGTTTTAGTCATTAGTCTTTGCTTTCAAATATGTGACGTATGTGTCATCACTTCCTTGATCTGTTTCCTCCTCTGCAGTTTTTTAAATGAGTAATTCTGCTTAACAGCAGTAAGGTTTCGTTTCCCTGCATGAGGACGAACGAGGAGAGTCTTTACTGGACTATAGAGGAATATTCTGTGTGTCACATGCTGAGCAGATCAGCTGACATCAACACACTGGCTTTTGACTGTGTTCACGTTTTCTGGACTCATCCATGCACACTGTTATTCCATATTTCATCATATAATAGAATAATCCAGACAGAGTAGTAGATGCCTGATCATATTAGGTTAGATTATAGATCATTTTCAATAACCAAGATGGACTAAATGTTAAAAGAGTCTTTTTTTTCGCTGACCATTAAACTTAATATATCCATTTGATCGCCCAAAACAGAAAAAATATGATGAAATGGAGACAAAGAGGTTTATTTTCTGTTGTAGTAGCAGAACTGGTGAAGAAAGAATGATCCATAGTCATCTTCTTGGGTTTAAATTGAGCTTTTTTACAAATAACACCAAATTCAAAGTAAATCCATACCAAATAAATCTACATTGTTCCCCTTGAATAAAATAGCAACACTATCCAGGCATGATCACAAAGCCCTAAAATACAAGTTAGAGTTTCACAGAGAGGGAGAGAGAGACCAGAACTGTGGGTTTCTTTTGAAGAAGGAAAACCTCTTTTCTGTTTCGATTTCCCTTGAGCTCTAGACCGCCACACCTTTATTGTCAAGGCTTCAAAAAGAGGCGAGTTCACATGTTGTGTAGCAGCAGACGGAGAGGACGGAACCCTGTAGAAGAGATTACAGCTAAAGACTCACAAGTATGGAGGAAACCCAGCTACCGTTCATGGGAGCTGTAGTTCAAAGTACAGTTACAGAGTTAAATGATGGTGTTGTAAGCTTTCAGTTACTATTAGCAGGTGAGTTAATGCAGCCAATTGTTCTCGGAATCTTCACTTTATGACTTCTTTTGTGTTTTAAGGGGAATAAAGAACAGAGCCGGTTTTTTTGTTCAGTGTCTCTCCTCAAATCACTTTTTTCAAGCTGACTTTGGCTTTAGTCTTCTGGCTGAATTAGATATCCCAGGATTAAGCGAGGGTATGAATCGTTTGGCGTATTCCCTGTTGGAGTAAAGTGGTGTCTTTCCTCTTTGTGTTTCCAGCTGCTGTCAGTGTGCTGCTGTTCATTCTCTACCTCAGCAACACTGCTGCTGCCGTCAGCCTGAAGGAACATCTGGCTGACTGTCTGAAGGACAATGACTACGAGGAGCTGCTGCACACGGTGAAGACCGGCCTCCCTCACATAAATACATCTCATCATGTGGTTATCGTGGGAGCTGGCATCGCTGGACTGACGGCTGCCAAGCTCCTGCAAGACGCAGGACACCAGGTACATGCAGCAGGATGACACCATAAAGCAAATTTAATGTTCCGTTGACCACCAGGGGTCAGAAAAAAACAAGATGAAATGTGCAGCCACCACAAATCACAGGCTGGCCAGCTCATATGCAGAAATCACTTTTTGTTGAAAGTTACTGCAGCAATCCTAAGATGCACTACTTACAATTCTAAATCATAAGGTAAAACATGCACAGAGGGTAAATAAATGCACATTTTGTTCCACCTTCTTTGTTATAGTCTCTGATACAAAAGGAAAACTGTAATGGTTTATTAAACTGCAAAACTGTGTAAATGAGCCAATTTTAAGGAACTAGTTTGGATTTTTTTTTAAAGTGTGGTTGTATGAGGTTCCTCTCCGCAGTCAGTGTATTACTGTAGTAGATAGAGTTAAAACAGTCAATGTCAGCTATATTTAGAATATTTTCACCTCTTTGCCTTTCTGACGGGGAACTGAAGCCGTTATCTTTGCTCTCTTCAAAGATACAAGACTCCTTTGATAAAAACAGTGATTCTGCCTCTCAGAACACAGCAGCTGCTGGTCTACCGCTGCCTCCATCGTTTAGTTTCTGTTGTTGTGTGACTTTTTTGAATCCAAACTAATCCTGAAAACACAAACTAAGCGATGGATGCGGCGGTGGTTCTTGTTTTCAAATCCGGAATCAGACACTTAGGGTTAAGCCCTTTATTTAACTGTCGTGACAAGGTGACCATAGTGGAGTCTAGTGGTCGAGTTGGAGGACGAGTGGAGACCTACAGGAATGAAGAAGAGGGCTGGTATGCCGACCTGGGAGCCATGAGGATCCCAAGTTCTCACCGGTAAGTGAAGCTGTGTCTTAAATGAGCAAAACAACAGTGTTTGAACCTTTAGTCAGTTAAAAATGCTCCTTGTTGGGTAGTTAGCAGGAGCAGCAACACGTAACTAGTAAAAGAAACTTCAGCATCATCAAACAATTCATTTCATCTTTGGTTTGTGCACAGTGTGGACATGCCACAGTCATAAGCCCTTGTTAGCAATGTCTTTAGAATGTAAAAGCTACATGCTAGCATCAAGTGTCTCATCTCTGCACAGCATCGTCCACTGGTTTGCTAATAAACTGGAAGTCAAGCTGAATAACTTCATCATGGAGGACATCAACACCTATTACCTGGTTCACGGGCTGCGGAAGAGGACGTACGCAGTGAAAGCGAATCCCGACATCCTGAAGTATAAACTTCCGAGAAGAGAGAGGGGGAAGTCAGCCGACCAACTGCTACAGCAAGCTCTGCAGAAGGTACTTTGTGTTAGAGGGCAGAAAGGAGCGACGCAGCGCACGGCCTATTCTGTGGGAATCTGATTCCAATACGAGCTGAAAGATATTGTTCTAAACAGAACAACTTTATTAACATGTCTGCACTTTTGAGTCAATTGATATCCCCTTAAATGTCATGTAGTAAATGTTATAATAGCTGTTTTTTGTTCCCTATTGCTGAAACCTTTAGTTTTTTTTCTAGAATTTTAGAGGCTGAATAAGTTAAGTTCCCAGTAAGCCTGGATTTGATTATATGGAGGTCAAAATATGTTTATTGAATAGAACTGCAACATTTGGCTGAATAATGAACATTTTTAAGATGTTTCCTGTTTTATTTTGAATTTCCCTGCCTCTTCTGTCCCGTGTTCACTCTACTTCCTGTCTTTTGTGATGTTAGCTCAGTTTTAACCAAAACCCAGAGCTGCGTAAAGTTAGATATTTTATATCCTGCATCGCTCCGAGGCTTCTGTGTGCAGAGGCACCACTGTAAACAACAGCTGGATCTTTTCTCTAGGTGAAAGATGAAGTGGAGGCACATGGCTGCAGAGCTGCTCTACGGAAGTACGACCACTATTCTGTAAAGGTAAATCACAACGTGATCTCATGGAATTCCACAAATGAGCACCGAGTCTGACACTCTGCTGCAGAAACAAATGATGTGAATGTTCTGTTCCCCCAATGAAGATTGGACAAGTATATGGGACAGTAGAACATATTCTCAGCTGATCTAAGGTCACCTGAGAGAGAATCATTTAAGATTACGATTCAAGAAGAGATTGAAATCGAAATGTAGAAAACATTTGCGTGTTGTTTCACAGGAGTATCTGAAAGAAGAAGGTGGCGTGAGTCCAGAAGCGGTGAGGATGATCGGAGACTTACTCAATGAACAGAGCCTCATGCACCTGGCGCTGACTGAGATGATCTACATCCAGAGCGACGTCAACGACAGCACCACGTACGATTGGTTGATTTAACACATTTGTGCATTTAAGTTTGTCCCAAAAGATGTTGTGTTTTAATTCAAAGCCGGGGTATACTTGAAACAAGTGGGGAGAAGAGAGCACAAATGCCTCGAAGGCATTCAGGGTGCTGCACTCGTTTCAACCAAAGAGATCTCACTCTCTCTTTTGTCAAACACTGATGGTTAGACAGATACCAACGCGCTTTCAACTAACTCCAACGTAAACCCACCCGCATCTTTATTAGACGGTCTGAGAAAGTAACAGTTTGAAGAGTGAGATAGTCCACACAGGGCGGACAGTAAGACAGGTGGATGGGGCAACCAATCGCGGGACGTCCGTCCAGGAGGCCGCTGTTTGTTTGCCGTGCAAAACTGAATGTAAAGCTTTGCAGATGCCGCGCAAGCTCCGAGCATGCACAACGGCGTTTATTATCTATGTTCATTGTATTATTCTCCTAAACACCAGAGGGCCTACAAACAAAATGAACTGTGAAGAATCAAAAAGACAACAAGGCAAAACGCCATAAACCAACCTCCACTAAGGCGAGGAGGGATTGTAATTATCTATAAACTCATATCTCATATTCATGGACTACTTTATTGCCTTTGTACAAACCCTGTATATAAAGAAGTCGAGTGTTACATGCATTATAGAAAATACGAAGGTTGAATATCATGTAAAGTATTTGATTTGGCTGCAAAATATTTACTCAAATGAAGATTTTTAAGACCTCCTGTTTCTAAAGCATCTAAACACCAATTGACCTTCTTTGTATAATCCCAGTTTATATTCATGTGAGTCGCTTGTCACCCACTAGTCACTGGAGTCATTGGTCAAGTGGTTTTTTGCTTAACCCTAACCTCCAGTGACAAGAAACTGTACATGTGGAAACTGACACGCCTCACCTCACACATCCAAAATTGACACTAGAGGGGAACGTAGAGCATCTTAGTTTGAAGCTTAGGGCCACTGACCAAACCTTCGGTATTTGACGAGTTGGGAGTGAGAATGTGTTGTTGTGACAGAAGTTCAAATCTTGCCTACTTTACATGCTTATGGTTGTACCGAATAAAAGGGACTAAAAATCTTTCCTTTTGTTTTGAAGGTACGACGAAGTGACCGGCGGGTCAGATCTCCTTACCAAGGCTTTTCTTTCTGTCCTTGACGTCCCCATCCTCCTCAACTCTAAGGTCAAAGGTATCAGCCAATCAGATGAGGGTGTAATTGTATCCTATCAGACGAGCCACCAGACCTCTTTGACAGACCTTTCTGCTGACATTGTTTTGGTGACAACCACAGCCAAAGCAGCCCTCTTTATGGACTTTGATCCACCTCTCTCCATCAGAAAGATGGAAGTCCTGAGGGGGGTCCATTATGAAAGCTCCACTAAAATCATCCTCACCTTTCGCAACAAGTTCTGGAAGGAGGATGGCATCCGAGGGGGAAAGAGCATCACCGATGGGCCCTCGCGTTACATCTACTACCCCAGCCACAGTTTCCCAACAAATAAGAACATCGGTGTCCTCCTGGCTTCCTACACCTGGTCTGATGACTCCCTCCTCTTCTTAGGTGCCAGCGATGAAGACCTGAAAGAAATGGCTCTGAGAGATTTGGCAAAGATCCATGGTGAGCATGTCAGGTCTCTCTGCACAGGGGTGTTGGTGAAGAGGTGGAGCATGGATCCTCACAGCTTGGGCGCCTTCGCTCTCTTCACACCCTACCAACATTTAGAGTACTCTAAGGAGCTCTTCAGAAGTGAAGGCAGGGTGCACTTTGCTGGTGAACACACAGCCTTCCCTCACGCTTGGATTGAGACATCCATGAAATCTGCAATCAGGGCTGCTACCAATATTAACAAAAAGTCAGCTAGAACTCAGCATGACGAGCTCTAAGGTTTTAAATCTAGCACTTTTGCTTGGTTGCTTTAGAAATGAGGCCCATCAGGATTGTCCAGCTCAACTCCACATGAAACTGGTGGATTTTCAGCACAGAAAATGGTTTAATGTTGCTTGGTGAAAGTATAATCAGATGTAACTCACTTGAAATCAATAGTATGTGCACCACTAATGTCACTCCAAGCTTGATGTTTGTGTCGATCAAATAGGTGCTAAATAACAAGAACCACTGCTATCTTTCCCCTCTACTTTGTTGTTTCAACTCATGGTGCTCAGAATTCTTCTCCAAAATGTAGAAGCGCAAAAATGAGAGTCAATTAAAGAGCTTTAAGAATGTATAAAATGCCTCCTGCTGTTAAAAGCAAGGTTATGCTGCACATTATTAAAGGACAACAAGCACTCCACGATCTTTGTCGACCTCAACTGACGGCTTGAGGGCATTACAGTAACAATAATAACTGTCATTTTCAAACCTGACCTTCATAACTTATTACACTTAATTGTGAGAATCTGTAACCTTTTCACAAGTCACTCAGTAAGGACCAAATACTGGCAAAAGAAAACTTTAAAAACAAAACCACAGCCAAAGGCTCACATTGAGAAATTATTTATTTTGTCGATTCCATAAAAGGCAACAGCATTGACAAATGATCACACAGAGAGAAAAAACAGCAAGAAAGTGACACTGTAATACACTGATGTGTAATTTAAGAGCATGACAATTAACTTAATACATAATAAAAGACGTAATTTCTAAATACGAAATGTAAAACATGTAATAAAATATAAAAAACAAACAAACAAATTAAGAGTACATTTAAACAAGGCCAGCTTAAGCTGCTGTTAGTTTGGTGCAAATATACAATTTTAGTTTAGTTTTAGTAAATGAGACACTGAAGGTTGATGTTGTCACTCAAGGGGATACAAAAACAAAAAAAAACCTGTTTTTTAAATAATTGAACACTGCTCTTTATACATGAGACACGTACTTGCATGTATAAAATTGTAAATAATTTACCAATATCAAGCTCAAATTGAGTGAATGTTGAGGTATGGGTGAAGTACATCTTTGATTAGAAGAGCTGCATATGAGGGAGTAAGTGCATAGCATTATGTTAGCTAGTTACTACTTTACTCAAGATTTTACATTTTAAAGAATTCTGTTTTGTCCATAATTAGAATGTTAAAAAATGTGTCATTTGTAAGTTTAAGTTATTGAACTTGATGGCTGAATTATGAATTGTATATTTACGTGCACAAATTAATGAATTGAGAAAAATAAAATTTCGGTGTAGATAAAATCAAATATAACCCCTTAACTCACATCACTGTTCTTCAGGGAAGCTGCTGCAAACCTAGTAATTCAGGGCCACTATGATCACAATAAATACCTGGAGGGACTACTGTATATGCAGACAATATAACTGTATGCAGACGATATAACTGTATATACAGACAATATAACTGTATATACAGACAATATAACTGTATGCAGACGATATAACTGTATATACAGACAATATAACTGTATCTGCAGACAATATAACTATGAAGACGATATAACTATATGCAGATGTTTAAACTTTATACACAGACGATATTACCTGCTATATTTCCTTTGTTTTATCTAATGTCAAATCTAAACTTCTATAATACAACTCACTGTCTGAAATCCAATGTCTAACGTAATAAAAGTCCCCTCTGATCCTGTCCGGTTGTTGTCTTTACTCGTTGCTTTA